GTTTGGCCGGTTCTCAACTGGCAATGACAATGCCGACAATGCCGCTGATTAAGTTGTTTTTTTCTCTAGACCAGAGCATTATGAGTTTTGGAAGCTTCCCCCGGTCGTTGACTTCATAATTTAGAGCTCAGATAACCAACCCTATAGCTTTTTGAACAATTTTTAACTTCCGCCAGCTCAGCTGATTGGCTTCGATCTTAACACAGTTGAAGTTTGCTTAATTACACAGTCTAGCTTGCATCATTGAGGAAGGTATTGATTGACAATTGTTTTCCGTCTTTTGTAGTTAAAAAGTAAAAAACTTGAGCTTCCAGTGAACTGCAAAAATTCTGCTGTTAGGTGACAATAAAATGGCTTGCACCCTCATTGAATCATTTGGAAAAGTAAGTTTTACAGATTGTTTACTCAACTCCACTATACACATCAAGACAAGCATGCAGTTACGTGCTCTAAGAATTTCTCATTGCTTGATCGTAAGTAACCTCATCAGCGTTTTTGCGTACCTTAGGTACCATAATGCCGAGATACTACTGTTCTAAGAATAATGATGTAGAATCAGTCAAGGTACTATCTATACTTTACTAAACTAGATCTACCGCGTAATGAAATTTCAGTAAGTAGAAGCGATCCCAGTAAACTTACAAGGGAAGCTATCTAACTTAGCTCGGCCTTCTGGCAAGAGACATATATAGTCTAAATCAGCCTTAAACTCTGATTTCAAATATGCTATTCCTAGCTGCCACGCACCATTCCGAAGCGAGTTATGGGCTTTTTCCTGCGCAAAATTGGCATGCTCATCGACTCACAGGCATCACGTCATCATCATTTAAGTGATGATGCACCTGCGTTAAGCTTTTTTTTAGTTAGAAGAGATTAGATTTGACTATTTCGATGCCTCAGCACCTTTTCTTGCAGATCTTTATTTACAGGCAGACTTCTCATGTTCAGTAATATGCCAATTTTGCGTAGGAAAAAGCCCATAACTCGCTTCGGAATAGTGCGTGGCAGCTAAGAATAACATATTTGGAATCAGCGTTTGGAGCTGATTTAGAATATATTGCCTTTTACCATAAGGCCGAGCTAAGTTAGGTAGCTTTCCTTATTAGAAGCTAGTATGGATTGTTCTATTGTGGTGTCGCTCAGATTATCCTCAGCTCTCAAAGTGAGGGATTAGTGTGTGTTGCATACTAATTTTGGTCCACTTGTTTTAAATGTAAATAATTGCAAGGCGTATAGGCAAGTGAGGTATAAGCATCGCGAGTATTTTTTAATATCCTGCAGGTACATTTTTGTACATTCTTTTTGCTGTATCCCGTGGAGTCGGACAATTTTGAGTTTTTGACTCGAAAGAAACCAAAGTTCAAAGCTGAAATTGATCTTAATTACGCACGTTTGAGCGCCTTCAAGCCATCTTCCAATGCCGTTTGCATGCATTCATTTACACTTATTGCAAGCCTCACCTTAACGCCTCCCCCGCCGCCTTTCTCTAAAAGAGCACTACGCACTGTACCTAGCTGCAATAAAAACGCGCTATGCCTGAGGACCGTTGATTGAAGAACTTGAGTAACAACTCAGATAATCGCCGGGGGCAGGCGGCCATGCGATTTATGGGCGGGCGGGCACCGATAGTTCGCTGATTTCTTGCGGTCCGCTTGCGGAAATTTGGAAGAATGTTGACCAATTTTCAGACAAACGCTTGGAGAACAAGCGCGGTTTCCTTACAGATTAGCTGCGGCGCAATGGCCGCATTTTCGCGGACTTACCGCGAGAATGTGCAAAATTTTCTGGAGCCGCACGGTCCTTTGTGGAGGACCGCGCAGCCCCCAGTACTCTCAGCTGAGAGAAAGTACCTCAAACTTGAGTAATTAAACCATCGATGACACCTCTGCCACACAGAGTCTTTCCTGTGCTCGGCGTATGCCCGAAACTGCTCAAAAGGAGTCCGAGCGCTTGTTGAAAGTTTGGTCAGCGCTCGCTGAAAGAAATTATTTGACGAGCGCCTGCAGAAAATTCTGTGTTGCTGCCCGCTGGCAGAACATTAGACAGTAAAGGAAGTGCCGCCCGCTGAAGGTTTGGCCACGCCCCAAAATTCTGCTGACCGCCTGCAGAAAAACGCGAGTTTGCGAACCGCCTGCCCCCGGCGATTATCTGAGAAGGTCACCGAAAGTTAGCATACACACGTCCATTCCTAAACTTGTTTAACGTGTGCGACCCAAGTTTGCAAAGTTTAGTCCAACTGACTTGGACTCAAAAAGTTCGCAAGGCGAGAATGACTTCGCAAGCAAAGTCAAGCAATTCCCCATGTTAATGGAGACTTGCTTAACTATGCTCTCCATGAAGATTGCATAATTATTAAGTCGATGCAAAAGTAATGGCCGATTTTCCAAGCCTTTTTTAGGGCAACTTTTTCCATCAATACTTCTTCTTTACAATAGATGTAGCATACCGTCGCGAAGCTGTTTTCATGCCCTATTTAATAGTGCTTGAAATGGGCTCTTAGAAATTGACTACATTATGCACTTAATTATATTCTTTGAAGTTATCAAAACTGAGAGATCGTCGCCTAAACATGGGTAGCTGTTGCGGTCATTTTATGACCAATAATTTTCTTCTGAGGAACTCAGTCGCCGAAGCTTTGCTCAATTCTGTAAGTGTAGGGCTAGGACATTTATTAGCAGTTTTTGCAAAAACATCCAACTGTTCAGTACGTAGAAAATCAGAAAATTCTATATTCCGGCCCGTGGCCAATACTTACACCCAAATGTTGTCAACGAGAGGCATGTTTTAATCCAAGTATACCGCTTAAATCAGTGAAAATGCAGTACTAGCATTCTTCTAATTATAAGGCTCAAGAGATAGTAATAAGAAGATGCTCGCTCTATGTAGTCTCAAATCAATAACATTGTATTAAGAAAAGCCAAGAATTGAGAGATGTAACATCATCTCCTTAAGTTATGCTCGATTGTAACAAAGATTTTCCTTAGTGATACTTGAAGCTTTTTACGGAAACAAAATATGTGTCAACAATGAGTACGATGAGTGAGCGACATGCTCTGATAAGAACCCCTTCACATTTTTGTTCGCCATTACCACTGACTCCCCCTCATCCCTTTTATTCCTCTTGCGTTGAAAAGGAAAGTAATAAACCTTGCAGACATTCATTTGGCAAGATGTAGAGATTTATATGGCATGCACAATTTGTCACGCATCCCCACGATATCCTAATTCATGCGCACATTGCTTGTTGTGGTCATATACTGCTAAGCTACTTAATGATTCACCTTGACATCATTTTCAAAAAGTACGTGTTTGTATTCGAATTATCAGATTTTCTTGCACTGATTTGATTTGTTACAAGGCTAGAGCAGCTTATTCATCATTTTCAAATTTACACAAAAAACGGTCACTAATTTCGGTGGGACAGCCACACGAGATTTGTTGTACTCTTTATACAGTGCTGGACAAAATTATAGGTCCTCTCTAAAAAGTGCCATAACTCACTCCGTTTTCAATAAAATGTTCCAAAATTTGATACAGCCGTGTGATTACCAGCCTACTATCACTCATCAAAATGGGTCTCGTTTTCGTTTGGTTATTCAAGAAAAAATTGAAAATTTTGAAAAAAGCAGGCTTGAAGGCTGGACTTAATTAAAGGTCCACCTGGAGTTTTTACTGATTGAAGCACTTCTTTGCCCCCGATTTTAGGTAGATACACATCTAAAAACGTTAAACAGCTGCTTGAGTCAAGCTGTGTCATACCTCCAAAGAGGACTGATTATCTGCTTTTTTGCCTTGAAAATGCTTTCACATGTATTTCGCTCCACAAACCTGCGTTAGAACTTCTGCAGTTTCTCAGCTGGATCGACTACCTTCTGGATGCTTTTTGACGTGAGCATTGAGGAAAAAATCCGACTTTTTGCTGCTGAAGCAAATCCGACATTGACAATACTGCTATTCTGAGCTCAAATTTCTGCCTTCAAACTTCTTTTACAATGTTCTCAGAAGCATTAAGTAAAGTAAAGGCATTGTTTCTTTTAAGGGGAGTCCGTATTCCATGATTACAACTCTTTAAAGATCCTAGCATTTGAGTATAATTACTGAAATCACCCTGCAGAAACTGTTTACGACAACACCAAAGCTTTTTGTGGCTCCGACCAAAATTTTCAGAAGAATCATGAGCTAACATACACTACAAGGCTGTATCCACTATCTAATAAGTAATTACTGTCAGAGATGCAAGTGAGGTAGCACTCGGCAAGCTATTTTGAATCTGCGTAACACCATCATTACGTTGCACAAACAACCCATTTGAAAAAAAAGCGAGGCAGCTTTGTGGACACTTGCGAGTGTGGCGAACAGCTTTATTCTTGTGTAAAGAATGCTTCTACAATATCTTGACGTTATAATGACAATGCAGGAAGGGTTTTAGGGCAGAAACTGAGGCTTACTCTCCCGATTGAAACGATGTAGGGTTTGCTTCAGCAGCAAAAAGTCGGATTTTTCCTCAATGCTCACGTCAAAAAGCATCCAGAAGGTAGATGAACCCCCGTCCCTTTCGATCCAGCTGAGAAACTGCAGAAGTTTTTACTAAAGCAGGTTTGTGGAGCGAAATACATGTGAAAGCATTTTCAAGGCAAAAAAAGCAGATAATCAGTCCTTTTTGGAGGTATGACACAGCTTAACTCAAGCAGCTGTTTAACATTTTTAGATGTGTATCTACCTAAAATCGGGGGCAAAGAAGTGCTTCAATCAGTAAAAACTCCAGGTGGACCTATAATTTTGTCCAGCCTTCAAGCCTGCTTTTTTCAAAATATTCAATTTTTTCTTGAATAACCAAACGAAAACGACCCATTTTGATGAGTGTTAGTAGGCTGGTAATCACACGGCTGTACCAAATTTTGGAACATTTCATTGACAACAGAGTGAGTTGTGGCACTTTTTAGAGTGGACCTATAATTTTGTCCAGCACTGTATAATGCTGTCCAACAATTATCAGAGACATGTGTTGCGTTACTACCGTTTCATCTTTCCTTTCAATCAAATTTTTCTTAAGCCACCTTTTGCAAATAGAAGTGCAGAAACGCAGACTGTTGTTTTTTACATACATTCGTAATCTAAACAGGTTAGTAGATTGCCTTGTGCTAGATTAATCTATACTGTAACATCTATGTGGCCGCTCACCGTCTCTTCGTATCAAAATATAATGTTTGGACATTCATTGGAACTTGTCATCCTTGCCAAAAATATCCGAAACTTCTTTCGGTCTTGAATGAAAAATCAAGTGACCACATGAATGGAGCAGCCGTTGTTTAACCACAGAGAGTATTTAAAGCGGCGCATCTTGCGTGCTACAAGTCATTAAGAAAAGCAATACGTTATTCCACTTAATTAACTATAATATCTTCATTGGGCAGGGGTAAAACATATGTTGTTCACTTTAGAAATGTACGCTTAATAAGTCTCTTTGATGACTAAATGTGATAAATAGTGCTGGGCAGACTCCTTATCACCAACATTCCATTGATTGTTCACGATGAGTCACGTCACTTTGAGGGTGTTTAAAAGAAAAGTTATTTAAAACTTTAAAACAAATCATTTTCAGTTCTAATCTACTTTGACAATGCGATACAATAAATGGCTCTAGCAAGTGCTGCGCACGAGTGGTGGTTGGCTCTTTCCGCATAACGCATCAATTTCTGTATATTTTTAAGCCAAAAAGCCCAATTCGCAAAAACCTTTACTCATTCCTTGTAACATTTGTGTGAACGTAATTTTTGGAAGATGTGACCTTTATTCTTGAGTTCCCATGTTTTGTGTCGTAGGAAAGTTAATATTAGCACAAACACATTTTTTTGTAGAGTGAATGTAGATAGTGAGACGTAGAACGTGTAAAACGTCAGGGAAACGGTAATGGTAATAATATGTTTTAGACCGATGGCAAAGGTATTGGCCATCACGGCAATCTCAGTTTCGATATTTCTGATAGCTACTGTAATTGTTCTTGATGTATACGAGATAGATCACGTGAAGGATAGTGAACATTTGTCTCCATGGTTGTCTTGCAAATGCGTTGATGAAAGCAGGCAAGGTGAGATTTGAAAACAGTTGAAACTCAATACTCTTTATTTCTGTACGCATCGAATTTTTTTGAAGTACTCAAAAATTTCCCATGTCGGGAGCGTGAAGCCTAGCATTCAGCACAAGTATTGCGAAACAATTGCATTCTCAGATAATCGCCGTGGCAGGCGGCCATGTGATTTATGAGCGGGCGGGAACCGGAAAAATAGTTTGCTGATTTTAAGCGGTCAGCTTGCAGAAATTTGACAGAATGTCGGCCAATTTTTGTAGGAATGCTCGGAGAAGTATCGTGATTTTTCTACAGAATAGTTGCGGACAGTGACCGCATTCCGCGGACTTTCCGCGAGAATATGCAAAAATATTGGGGGCCGCACGGTCCTTTGTGAAGGACCGCATAGCCCGTAGGTACCTTCCGCTGAATGAATGCACCTCGAACTTGAGTAAATAAACCATCGATAACACCTCTGTCACATAGAGTCTCATCTTTACTCGGTGTATGCTCGAAACTGCGTTAAATGAGTTCTAGCGCTTGCTGAAAGTTTAGTTAGCACTCGCTGAAAGAAATTATTTGCCGAGCGCTTGCAGAAAATATTGTGTTGTTGCCCTCTGGCGGAACATGCTACAGTAAAGGAAGCGCCGCCCGCTGAAGGTTTGGCCACGCCCCAAAATTCTGCTGACCGCCTGCAGAAAAGCGCGAGTTTGTGGAGTGCCTGTCCCTGGCGATTATCTGAGTTACTGGATTGCTAACTGCATAGTTTAGATTTCGAACTAAAAGCGTTGAGAAGAATTTCCAATTGTAATAGAAAAATTCGATGAGAAACAACAAAAAAGCGAACGAGGTTAATTGATCTAACTGCTTCAAAATCGACTCCATAGTAAGCTCCAGAATATACCACATTATAATCAGAAAATTTCGGTGAAATGTCTCACAACCTCTTTCATACACTCAAGGAAACGAGTGTAACCACAAACGAAGCGATCACGAACATTGCATTCTACAGGAAACTTATGAGGAAAAGGGTTGGAGCAAGAGTAAGTAACACTCTCAAATATAAAAAGCTTGAGGAAAAAGATTGCGCTTTCATTTCCTTCTAGGATGGCAAGAAAACAGACATTTCACTTATATCTGCGTTTGAATATCCCCAGCAGATAAATGTCATGATCACTTCCATTGCTAAGTATGGGTGCGTTATACTATGAGTTATTATCATCGCCATCTACCTTTACATCTTTAGAGATAAGATCTATTGCCGCTATTTTGACATGTCAATGCAAGAAATCGGAAATCCTTTTGAAAGTGTTGTGTTTCCCGAATACACGGTAATGTGCTTGCGAAGAGAAGGAGCAAGATTCATGTCACTTTCGGACACACTTAGTGGGGAGTACGAATACCCGGTACCGATTACGGTTCGAACGCAATCAGGTATACAGCAATAATTTCGAATGGAGCATTGGAGCTATGTTTACACACCCTTAGAGCCAGCTCATTTCTTCTCAATTTGCTTAGCTCCTATATATGGGACAGAACCAAAATGGCTTCACCTCGCTGAGCTTGTGGAGCATTACAAAATCCAGGTTCCGGCTTTTTATTTGGCAAGCAATCCTTTTTATCTTACTGAGCATTTAATAGATTTTGCTTTTTTGGTGGTAGTTCGTTGATTATTCAATACACTTTCAAAAACTCACAATCCATTATACATGTTTTGGTCACATCAAAACTGAATCTGATTTGCTTTCTGTGAAGGGTGCAACACATTTCTACATGTACAGTAAGTATATCGATGAATATAGCCGAATATTACTGGATGATTATGTTCGCACTGGTGATGCAGAAATCGTAATTCTCCATGATCGTTTTGAAAGAAAGGATGATCGTTGGCAATCCATGGAGATCCAGGTAACATAGATCCCGTAAACGTATTTGCCTATTATAAACATTCCAGGAATGTCTCAATCGTGCACAAGGGCATTCTCGATGGGTAGCATTTGTTGACTTGGATGAGAGACTAACACCAACGAACTATTCGGGGACTTTACGGAGCTACTTAGAGTAATGATCAGCTGTACATTATGTTAATCTTAGCTATTCTATGAAGGAATATGGCCGATGATAAAATTGGAGCAGTTCAGTTTCGACAGCGTTGGATATTGAAAAATGAGACTCTTCCTGAAAGATATACAGATTCAACTCAGGTACCCTCACAAAGCTGACTGTCTACTGTCTTTTCTAAAGGGCGAAGTTTGTTTGGCAGATAGCTAGTTGGATGCCAACACGACGATACCACAACACTTCCCATGTCGGCCCAGTGGGACACACTGCGAAATGCATAATTGATCCCAAAAAGGTCATTACTCTATTTCTTTACTGTATTCTGTTTTTTAAAGGGTTGCCTGTTGCTTGCATATGGGCGTATAGCGAAGCTTCGCCAATGTCGAAACTGTACAGTCACCAACACCTAAGGCTTACATAACCGTATATAACATCCCCACTCACATAAGGAAACCATCATAAACCTCATGTTGCCATTTAACAGTTTACGCGCAAGAGCGGGATGCGAATCAAGCTCTCTGGGTTGTGCCCAGAGTCAGTGTCCCGGCAAGATTGCTTTCCATTTCACTTTTTCGCGGCCTCTCGCCATGCTGAATCCACACCTCTACTTTGCGGCGCATGGAAAATAGCAAAAATGGGCCTTCCGAAGCTCTCCATAACCACGTTCGTGAGAAAATACGTATAAATAGGCGGAATTCACACCTAGAGGGCAGGGCCTGGAAAGCTTCCAGTTGATTTCTAGGCTTTTTATAAGTGCTCCTTCGCTTCAGACTTTGCTCTTTACTGACTTTACTTTATTTAACTCTCATTTTTCCTAGAAGATTGCTTTGCAAATAACGAACACAATTTGAGATCAGCTTTCCGTGACGAACATCTTTATATTTCTTACAGTTTGGGTCGCCTTGTCAAATCTGCGCACACAATAAAAGCAATTTCGGTTTTGCATTCTACTCGTTGGCTTAATACTTACAAGGGAATGGTCAAAAGTCGAAGTGGCCAATCCGAGCAAGCTGCCTATCATTTGGTGCATCATTCAGGGTCCGGCACGAGGTGGGCAAACGGGGTTTTCCAAAACGAATTCCCCTTTGATCCCAATAAATTTTACGAATAGGGGACTTGAGCCCAAAAATGACGTTTCGTGCTTGTACGACGAGATTACCGGCCACACTTCGCCTAAAAGCGCTCAAAAGCGCCCAAATTGCTCAAATTCCTCAAATTACTCCTCAGCTGTATCAAAATAGAAAACAGGAAGAAAAATAAGCAAGAAGAATGATTAAGGAATGAGAAAATATCAAAGAAACGCAGTCATAGGAATGAGAGACGCCGTTTCCGCACGTATTGATTGACTGGGGCGCGCTTTCTATCTTAGAAAGCTAGGCTGCTGATGCGATTTTGGGCTCTAACAAGGACAAGAGGAGGAGTTTCGGAACCAAAATTTCACCATGTAGTAAACTTTAGGTGTACAACCGATTTTTGTGTAAAAAATTTGAAAAAATTATGTGAATTGAGAGTTTTGCCGACCTCAGGTGGGAATTAGGTCGGCAAATGCCGACCTAATTTGGAAATTAGTTAAGCACGCTCTTCATTCACATAAGTTTTTCATAATATTTCATACTTTATTACTTAGCCCTGTTGCGCATATACACACCGAAACTCGCGATTTCGTTACCTCTGCGTTGCAAACGAGCCATTTTTCCATTTCTTTGGTAGCGCAAAACTTTCAGAAAAAAGTTTGCCACAACTTTCAGTCACATAATTTTTCAATGAAACTCCTCAGTTAAGCCCTGCAAGCCCGTGTGCATGTACTTACCAAGTTTCATACCATATCGTTCATTTACGCGTTCCAAACGAGCCGTTTGAATTCACATCTTCATTTACCAGTGCGAAATTCTCGGAAAAAATGCTAATTACTCGTTCCGTTCACATAAGTTTTTTATAATTTTTCATACTATGTTTCCACTAGCCCCTCTCCGTTCGCATACAAAATTTGGTGCCATATCGTTACACATACATTGAGAACTAGTCATGTATGCAGTTACAAATAGCATCGCTTGGGCGACGTCGCGCGTGCGGCAATTAACGACGGCGCGGTTTGACGCGCGCGAACTCCGGTGTTCGCCTGTTGAGGCACATAACATGTCAAGATAACTAGCGAGCATGAACTACCAATTTTTTCCGGGGCTCCGCCCCGGACTTCGCAAAAACGATTTCCTCTTTGCTTTTTGACCCCAAAACGGTTTCCACCTTGTCATTTGCCGACCTCGTGCCGGGCCCTGGCATCATTCAACCCTGATTTCGAATTTGTATTCCATATTTGCTTAGGCCTTTGTGGATGAAGTTATGCAAAGGCTTATTGCAAAAAATCGTTTATAAAGTTGCGACATTGAACACATTGTGGCAGATTCAGCTTGCCTTTAGGTGACCTAGCTCTTGTTTAGGCCCAGCCTCAAGCCGAACACGGCTCTGTACTGCCAAATTTAGCTTTCACGATTTCTTAGCACAACAATGGGTTTTAGTGGCTCATAACTTCGTCCACATACGTGCTAGGAATTTTGGAATACAGATTCGAAGTCTGCGTTCCACGCTGCATCTAATGGTATCCAGCTTGTTCGAATTGGCCACTTCGATTTCTGATCAATTCCTTGTAAGAGCTTTGATGCTAGCGCGAAAATTGTTCTGGACTAAAAGAATTGGACTTTCAAGGAGAGATGTGCAAGCTTTCCACATTTCGTACTTTCATCACATTCACGCTTTCTTAAATATTGCGTGGCTATGGTTTAGATAAGAACTACAAAGTTTCTTAAGAAATGTCAACAAATCTCTTATCATGTCAAATAAAATTTGGTTTATAAAAGTTTTTGTAACAAAAGAGCGTGTTACTTATTTTCTCAATCATAAAATCAATATCTGGAAGGAGGGACTTTGAATAACGCAGATAGTCAGGGCGCTTAACTACTTCGAGAAAAGCACGATAGTGCCATCAAAAACATGCAATTAGCAGTAACATAAGTATTCCAGAAATCAAAATTCAGTAATTCTTCCAATCTATAAATCTGTTTGAGATAGAAGAGGAAAACTTATTCTTTCTCAATATTTTCACACAAGAATTCTTACGGCCATATCGCGGCAACAGAACTGCTGATTGCAAACATTAGACTGCGTTTAACATTTGATTACAAAAATGCTAAAGGGTGCACATGTCTGAACATATTTCCTATTTGAGTCCAATAATCTCAGTTTTTCAATTGACAGGAAAGGCCTTTTCAATCAAAGTGGCTTATCCACATGAAACTTCAAAGAGCATTGAATGTTGACTCGTTATTTGACTTTCCTATCTGCCAAGCGCCTTTGAAGGCTTTTCTAGCTTCGAAAATTGATAGCTTTACTTCTAAATAGTGTCTGAAATAAAATTTCAACCATATATTCGCATGTAAAGAAAGTTTCCGGGTATCTACAAAAATTTCTCAAAAGTGCTGTAACTTTGAGTAGATTTCAGAGCTGCAAGTTTTGTTGCAAAGATAATGCCAGGGCTCGGCACGAGGTGGCTTACAAGCAAGCTGGGTATCGTTTTTGGGACGAAAAGCAAAGGGGGTTTCGTTTTTGTGACCGAAGAGACACGGAAAATTGGCGACGGCAACCTTTTTTTAGTCGACGTTTCGTTTTTTGGGGGATTTTGGGGAATTTTTCATGTTTTTAGAGGAAATTTGGTTGAGGGTCAAAGGGGACTTCTTAAAAATTCCCAAAAGTCAAGGGGGATTTCGTTTTTTCCATTTTCATCTAGCCACCTCGTGCCGAGCCCTGGATAATGCCACTTACATGATTTTTTTAAACGGGAATATCAGCTATTTTTCTGCACTGCACCATTTTCTGACAAAGTGGTTACAAGTCTTACCTCTCCGCGCAGAATGAGCCAAATTTTTGATGACTGCAAAAATAGTTTGAGTGACTTTGCACATCTTTTGAGCCAACATTTAAAGGTAGCGGATAACCTAGAAGCGACACCAGCTGCGAAAAGAGTTACGGTCAAAAGCAATTTTGACAGTTTTAAAATTCTGTCTGTAAGTCGCAAAATTTGAGTGCATTTGCAGGCTCGAAACGGACAAACAGCTCTTTCGAAAAGTTGAGCATATAGGTGGTTTCCGTGGCTTAGCGGAAAAATGGTAGCAAAAAGAAAATTAGAACTTTATCTGGTTAGAAGATCAGACATTGGACATCGATAAAAGGCGGAAGCGGAAACGAAAGTTTTATGCTTTATTGTATAGAACCATGAAGATTCTTTCTTAAAGGTTTGACAGACTGCGAGAAAAATGACTCAAAAAATGAGATTTTTGAAAGTGCGTGGATATTCTCTTTACAGCTCAGTAGATTGATGCAAAAAGATGCCCCTAATCATCATTAAACGAATTTTTTTGAATTTTTAGTGCATTACTTGTTCCAACTCAGTACAAAACAGAGGTAGCAAAAAGTTTCAGAATATAAATCGAGATGGATACAGATAACAGCACTGCCATCGTACAAGTGTGACACGCACCATCTATACAAATTCTTTAAAGCTTGATGTAAATTGTCTTTAAAGACTGTTTTAGTTAAAGTGAACTTTTAAAATCTGTAACATTCCAGAAAGCTCTAAAACAAATTCAAAATCTGGCTTTTTTTTCTGCCATCATGACGCCAAGTTATGAGCCAATTTAGGCCGCTTGAAAATCAGTGCATTCTCAGTGGATGCTTTTCAATGTACTCATACTCAACACTACTCAGTTGAGTGCTGCAGAAGTTAATGAAACTGACTCCAGTGTTGTTCGCTTCAATATTCACTCATAACCCAGGCCAGAGATGCAAGGCGGTGCAGATACCGATAGTATATTTTGGAGGTCAAAGTTTCAATGCTCCGGACTCTTATGCAAATGGACTCTTTTGGAAATGCAACCAAAAATTAGAGTTTTTTTATTAGCTCAAGAATGTGCGTAATTAGGATTGCCGCTTACAGGTCTTGATTATGCACGTACATTATGTAAATGCGTTTTATGAGGGCTACACAATGTATCGCATGAGACCTGAAGAGGGAGTTGTAAGGTTGGTTCAGGTTTTGTTGTAAGGTTTGTTTATTCAATCTATAACTGGAGATTACATGGTTCAGTGATTCTATGAGTTTAGGCATTATCGGGACGTCAATTCTGGCCAGTGGGGCAAGATATGGCTGAAGGAAGTTGAAGGAATGGGCAATTTTTCAACGACAGATTATCCCGCAAAGTGGGCCAACGAACTATTAACGAGGGTTCAAAGACGGGTTCACTACGTGTATGGAGCAGAAATCAGAAAATGAAGACTTCGGAGGCGCATTGGATTTTAGCGTGTATCTTCATGTCTATGCTCGTAGTAATTTATTTTTTTATTTTTTAACACTTCGAGTAACTGGAATCCGAATATGATCATATATATGTGTTAGTGATTAATTAGTTATGCGCATTCAACTAACTACGTTCTCAAATGCTCAAATGTTTCGGATCGATACTCTATGCAAGCATGTTGCGATAAGGTAACCTTAATGCAGCCTTCATTCTAATTTTAATCGAATTTCCTAACCTTCTTGCCAATGCGGTAACCACCAACACTCAGTTTTTCTCTTCCCCTCCCCCTGTCACTTTGTAATTTTGTTCGAGGCATTTGAAGGAATTTTGGCAAACAACAGAGGCAAAACAAGCTGACATGTTATTTTTACCAAATGCATTCAAGTTCTCGAGTAACTTTTGGTAGAAGCATTGGTTTTGTGTTACACCTAATTTTGCAAAGACAGTTGTAGGTTAGAGGACTTCCGCCAAAATACTGATTACGTATGCAAGACCTTCTTGACTAATTCGGAAACTAGGTTTCTGAAAGTGGGTGCACTCATGCTATATTTAGCAGAAAGAGCCAAAACTTCTTATTTGGATATTCAATCTTTTTCTTGATAGTGAATAGGATAATGGATACTACAAGGCAAGGTGATTGAAAACTTATCGCTAGTCCTGTTTGGAAAATGAAAAGCGTTTGCAGTTATATCTGTAAAGGTTGCAGAGATTTGCATAGATCAAAGGTAGACGTGCAGATACGTGTATACAGGCCAACATGCCAATTTTATCATCGACTTTCATCTTCTTGCCGCACTCAAAGCTACTCAAAATTCAACATTTGATATCAGATATCCCAGGCTCGACTATTTCTGGATCTTGACACAGCATCAGTTATTTATGACGTTAAGCTTTCCAAAATTGGTAGCTTCTTTCCTTTATTGTGAGTGTATAGTCAAGTACTGTACTGACAATAAAGGAAGAAGCTACCAAACTTAGAAAGCTTTACATCATATTTAACTCAATGCAAAAAGCGTAAATACCTCAAGAGCCTCTTTTTTGAATACTATTTTCCTTTCCCCACACTATAGCGGCGAAGCACTGCAGACGTTTGCCAACGTATGCGCGTGGCATTTTTTGGCATTTAGAGAGTAAAAAAGTAGTGCTTCAGAACGGAGGTTCAACAAGTTTTTTAACGTGTTCAAATGTCTGCAGGACCACGCCCGCTATACGCATGGAAATCGCCTATGCTATTACAATTACTGAGAACGTGGATCCCCGGTGCTGATTCCACACTAGAGGGATTCTAGCCCTCTACATTAGGGACGCAATGTGCATTCCAACTGTTTCCATGTCAAAACGCGCTGAGAGGGAATGGTTGGGATTGCGAAAGGGGAGTTAAGGTCACTGATAGGGATGCCAGTGAACAACGAACAGCATGTACATGCCTCAGATTGTGCGCGACACATTTATGGGACGATGCCGCGCCATGCTGCGCCTTGGTATATGTGCTGAGGTTGCGTGAGATATTTAGAACAATAATCGTCTAATACCAAGAGACACTTGAACTTGATCTGCCACGCGGGCGTATTATTGTCGTCGTGTACCTCAACTCAAACTTGGGTAATTAAACCTTTTACTTTGACTATTGTACGCAAAATTCGACAAAATAACAAATAAATGAACTAAAACTACATAACAGACAAATGAGATACAAATGAATGATGATTTCACATACTACTAAAAAAAATCACTGAGAGTAGGATGCTAATGCTAGTTCTCACTGTTATGAAACTTGATTATGCTTATCCTACTCAATACTTGATGATTATGCTGTTTTAGATCTAATTGCTCAAAAAAGGTGCAAGAAAATAACACAAAAGTGATAAAACTTCAAGTCGGAAAAATATGAGCTTACAGTCAGACAAGCTTATATAGTGTGAACCTAGATGATATATGAGGATAAAGAAAATATGCAAATTATGTGAAAATGATACTTGCTTGAGCAGCCGACGAGCTGCATAGACGACGACCGTCCCCTTATCGTTCGCACCATCTGGAGTCGGCTCCGCGCTTGCAAGTAAACAAAGCATTCCTGTAAGAAAGACTTGGCGAAAATAATAATGAAAGGTTGGATCGATACATACTTGATAAATCCTTGGATTTGAAGTCGTGTTTCACGACACTGGCGGCGACGAGTTATGGTCTCGGGTGTGGTGCTGGATCCTGGCGAAGGATCTGTTCTACTTGATTCTTGAGGTCGTCCCTTTGCTTTTTCATTCTCTCTATGTCTTGTTCGACTTCGAGATAGTGGCCCATGATCCTCTGGATTCGTTGTTGGAGTTTATTTTCCGCGTTGGGTATGGGACATAGAGCCTTGTGATGATCTTCGTCTTTGGGACAAAATTCCTCCGACACGGTCCCCGAGACTTTCTCGCAGTAGTAACACGGACGAAAGGGATTTCTGCACCGGCCGCCGTGTCCAAGCAGGCATCTATGGCACAATCCCTCTTCCAAAGCGAGGTTGTACCTTTCGTCTCCATCTGTAATGACGTAGCAGGAATCTGAAAAGTGTCGACCCCGCGTCTTACAGAAGGCGCAGGTTATGTTCACTGGGATTTTTTCAGGGGCGTCTAGCAGAATGCGTCGCGGGAGTACTTGGATAGCCCTCTCTACTTCGTTGACCTCTTCTTCCCTTGCTCGATTTTCCTCCCGCGCTACTTGGATGCGGGCTTCCAATTCTTGGATGTGATTCTGCAACTCTTGAAGCTCGTTTTGACCCTTTCTTGGTATCTTGTCTCGATCTTCAGCGTCAACTTGATCGTGAGGCCTCTGTTCTTGGACCTGTACTCTCTTCATGTCCTCCTCCGCTTGCTCGATGACGACCTTCCCTCTGAGTATGGATTCGTCTAATGATTGGATACTTGGTTCGCCGAGTTCTTGGGGCGTCTCTCCGGCTTCCCGTAGTAGCTGGTCGAGGTATCCGTCATCGTCCAGAATTGCTTCCTGTCTGTGCCTAGCACTGTTTTCCTCCCCGACTTCGTCTTCGTCAATCACCATGAGTTCCTCCTCTAGTTCCATCTCTTCCTCCTCATCGTCCACAAGTCTTGGGAGATCCTGGACTCGTGATTCTTCCTTTCTCTCTGGAAGTTGTTGGTTCTTACTTGTTTCAGGAGGATTAGGAGGTGCCTTCTCTGTACCCATCTCCAGCCTTGCTCTTTTGGCCTTGATAGAGAAGAGCTCCCACTCGGCTTCTCGGAGTTGTTCTTTCAGACGACTAATCGTGAGTTGGTCGCGTTGTGCTCTATGGAAGTCCTCATTTCTTGTCTGGAGAAATGCTACCACGACTCTCTCTTCTTTTTCTAACTTTTCTATAATCTTGTTCATTTTTTGCATTTGTCCTTTCATGTCCATGCACAGGATGTCGTCTAGCCACACCCTTTCCCGACTTTCCTGCTCTAGTTCTATACGCCGGAACTTTTCCATCCATTTGGCCGTCAAAATCAAGCGAGTACACAGCTTGAGGTAGCTGTCTCTCGCTGCTCCCGCCGCGCGAATTAGACGGGAAATCGTGACGATTTTCTCTGTATCCGCGAACTTGAACCATTCCAGTTTGAGGTGATTCCATTCTTCGTTGATAGTCATTGCGACATTTACTTGATTTTGCATCTCTTCTAGTGTTTTCCCAAGGTCTTCTTCCAACATTGGTATTGTTATTGTAACTCTTGGTGCGATCTTGTCCGTTAGATATTCAAGCTCTTCCATGTGTGACATCTTGCTGGAATAAAATTGGTATTCTACTTCTTGTTTCTTGTATACTTTTTTTCTACTTTTTCAATCTATTTTCTATCGGAGATCTTGATTAAAAAAAAGAGGAAGTTTTTTAATTGCGTTGTCTATTGTTGCGTCTAATTGTTTGAGCTATGATCCAAATTGGTATGAATAGAACAGATTTCACTACCTTTCTGAGTAGGCGGAATTGAAGGCGCAGCAGAAAGTAGATAATTTTTATTCCGCACGTTGTGAAGCAAGTGTAGGTAATGAGGAGTAAACCTAGTACCGCTATTAGTACGCAAAGCACGGTTTTGTACCATTGTATGAAAACGTCAAGTATGTGCGGAAAATCTGGCAATTTTATTTCTTGGTACTCGTTGGATGATCCTTTTAACCAAGCTTGTATCATGTCTTGTGCTGTATGAGTGTACTTGAGGATGCCGGCAATTTCAAAGCTCGTAGGTTCTCCTCCGCAGCTCACCATACACCGCATATGCACTCTAGCTTGTGCTGGACTAAATCTCAGCGTAGACTGTTTGCCGTTTTTGTCGCATGCTACTGTGAAGCTTGATTCCCCGCATGTAATTTCTGCATATACTTGTCTCGCGGCTACACATGAAATTTGTGCTGTTGCGCCTTTTGCACAATTGTAACATCCTGTAAGTATCGTGTTGGTCACTGTGCAAAAAACTTGGTCTACTACGATTTTTGTTTTTAGGTTTTCTTGTATATTCACTATAATTTCTGAGGTGGTCATTGTTGTGACTGTTGCTTGGACTTTCCCTTGTTCGTTTTGTTTGAAGGATACTGAAGGCATTTCTGCCGGTAGCCTTCTTTGCAGGTCGTTGAATCCTGAGGATATGTCAATCTCGTTACACTTGCAGTTAGCTTTTGTTTCTGCTGGATAGCATATACAGTCGTCTCTGACTTCGCAGTCCAGAGTTTCCGCCGCTTTTTGGTTTACACATGATAGTGGTGGGGTTGATTTTCGATCCCATAAGGCTGTTTCGTTGTTGTTTGTTATGAAGTAGGTATTAAGCATGGGGATAGGGGGAATTGTTACCGAGCTTAATGTGAGCGAAAACGGTCCCGTTTTATCGGAATATTGGGTTGCATTTGCACCAAATACGTTTGCGATTTTCCATTGACTCCATCAATGTGCACGAGTTCCACTTTTGCGGCTTCTTTCCAGCGATTACAATGAAAAACGCGAAATACTTGTGTCGATAGTGGGATAAAGTATATGCGATAAAAAAGGCATCCCGAGCTCCAGTAAAAGCAGTCACAACCTGGTCCTCCGCATGATTCTACACAGTACGTTACTCCTGGGTACTTGTTACCTTGCTCTAGCTCTGGTATTAAGCTTGTTCCATTAATTGCTGCGCATTTTGGTTCTACGCATGTGCCAACGTGTGGGCATCTTTTACTGTCTATGACGTTGTAGGAGACTTGTCTAGTGTAAAAGTCTGTCGTTTGTTCGCATGTTAGAATCAAGGCCT